GGGAGCCCGACGCGGGGCTCGATCCCAGGACCCTGGGATCATGACCTGAGCCGAAGGCAGACGCTTAACGACTGAGCCACCCAGGCACCCCCATTAGTTTTTAAAAGAAGCCATTTCTAGGACTGGAGGTCATTCAATTCTCAAGGTGTGAAAGAAAGTGCCGAGAGCTGTCCTCCGCACCTGCTAGGCCTATCTCACACATTTTGTCTGGCTAAGATGCAATGGGCAAAAGAAGCTCTTCAAAACTGCGGACAGGGAATGGAGATGGAAGACGGGCGAGGGGCAGGCTCGCCTCCCCCGCTCACCCCGCTGCCTGGTCAGCTGCCTGGTCAGCAGCTGCTTCAAGAACTTCGTCAAGATTTGTACGTCACATCACCCACAGCCTTTAGGATAAACCCCTTCTGGAATTCAGGATCCAGAAAAAGTTGATCTTGGAAGGACAGAGATGGTTCTTCCCTCACATAATGAACGTTGTAAAACTCACGACTGTTTCCCCTTCTGCCTTTTTCTGTCAGGAAGCTCAGAGTCAACCAAAAAGAAAACTTTCGTGTGTGATTATGAAAGTAATATGTGTTCGTGATAATAATCTGAAAGGAGGAAAATAAAAATCACTCCATCTCATCAGCCGTAGTGAATTTCCTGTCAATAATTTTTCTTGATTTTTTTGGTAAACATAGCTAATTCTACAGTTTTTAATCCTCTCTTATTCATACTGTATTATAAGAATTTTCTTGTTACAAATTCCCCGAGGGTAATTTTAATAGCTACATAATCTTGTCATGCGACCGTACCATAATGTATTTAATCATCCACTTATTGCCGGAGTTTTGGAGAGTCTCAGAGCCAACTTTCATAATAAATCACAGCAATTTCATTATTTATCCTGGCTAGCACATTTTCTTCTTTTCATGATTTTCAAATCGCTTCTACGTTAACAACCTTATCATGGCTGGCTCGGTGAGACAACTTAAAATACCCATCTTCAAGAGGTAGGATATAAATAGAGATTTCCAATTTGTAAATTTCCAGTTTAAGAGATTTATGGCCACACTGTTCGCTGTAGGCTCAAATGGTCTTTGGTGGCCTCTAAAATGACTGAACGTCGCCTGGAACTGGAAGGGTTGTCTAGAGTGTCGAGAAGAGTTGTAGAGGTGGGAGACACACATCCCTTCTTGCTAGAAACCCTTGCCCTCCAGTAAAGATGCTTCTCTAAAGTGAGCCAAGTGATGCAGCTATCTGGATAGCGTCTATGTTGGAAGACGGCACGTGGAGAAGCAAGCAAACCACCTTTCAGCAAGCTGTTATGTGAAGGTTTCAGACCCTATCCTGCCCGATTTCCAAAATGAGAACCTCATGTTGAGCCAAACGATCATCACAGAAAATCACTGCTTGAATCTCTGGCCTACGCGAGTTGTCCCATAACCGTGAGCAAAGCCTGAAGTGCAGGGCAGCCCCAAGGAAAGGCCATAAACCTGTAGGCTAGCAGCACGCACAGGTAGTTTGTATATTCACTCCTGACACTATAAAAGGCCCATCTATTTTTTTTTAAAGTGAATGGGGGACTACGCTTCTCACACATAATTGTACATATTCAATGAATGGGACAAATCTGTAAGGGAAGCTGTCATCATAATGACAAGACAAATCATCTCTCAGAAATGAATGATCTCCTATTTCACTTTGGTCTCTTAAACAAAGAGCAAACGGGTGCCTGGGTGACTCAGTCGGTTAAGCATCTGCCTTCGGCTCAGGTCATGATCTCAGGGACCTGGGATCGAGCCCCACATCGGGCTCCTTGCTCAGCGGGGAGCCTGTTTCTCCCTCTGCCCCCCGCCCCCCCGCCTGTGCCCTCCCGCTCACTCTCTCCCCCTCTCTCTCAGATAAATAAAATCTTAAAAAAAAAAGAGCAAACGGGCGCCTGGGTGGCTCAGTCGGTTAAGCGACTGCCTTCGGCTCAGGTCATGATCCTGGAGTCCCTGGATCGAGTCCCGCATCGGGCTCCCTGCTCAGCGGGGAGTCTGCTTCTCCCTCTGACCCTCCTCCCTCTTGTGCTCTCTGTCTCTCATTCTCTCTCTCGCAAATAAATAAATAAAATCTTTAAAAAAAAAAAAAAGAGCAAACAATAATGCAAATATGTAAGTTTGCTAAGTATATTGTATGAATATAAAATGTGCTCTAATATTCTATTTCAGAGCTCTGGGCATTATTTTCATAAACAATCAAAATAATTATTTATATCAATAAGGTGATTAAAAGGAAGAAGAAAATCACCAATTCAACAAAACTCCAGGTAACCTGTATCAGCACACATAATCCTGGTCCAAGAGAGGATGTATTTTCAGACGTACTGTCCTTGGGTAGATGTCTAATTTCAGCGGCTCCCAGCCCGTAAGGGGCTGATAAGTGATAGGCTCACAGGGTAGCCGCAGAACTGTTCTCGGGTACGTGTTTTGTGCCCTCTTGGAGTTTTCCTCCAGCAGGGAAACAAATTACATCTATGTAGGTAATTGTTTCCAGCATATGTTAATATGTCTTAATTTGTCTTAATGATCTGGCCATGGGGCTGGTGCCTCTGCTTCTATTCCAGGACCCAGCTGGTAATAAAAGGCTTCATAATAATGAGATTCTTGGTGGAAATATCTTAAGCAAATACATCCCCCAGAGCAGCCAGCCAGCTCCTCTCTGCTGGAGTACAGCACCTGTCTTGTAGTGACTTTCGGAAAGGGCTTTATTCCTCAAATCTACTCCAGTCCTACAATTCTCCTGGATAGATCAGAAACATATTCGAACCAACCATCGTCCTTCTCTACATTTTACCTCTAGAGTTCCCCTTCTACCTCTCCAGTCATCACCGATCGGGGGCAGAGCTGGCCCCCAAGTCCAGGCTCTTGGATTTAAAACGTGGTGCTGAGGATAGAGGTGGGGACCACCGCAGAGATTGGGAACCTAAGCAGGAAAACAGCCTCATCTTTGAAAACCTCCGTAAGTTACAGGAACATGCCTGAACCTGATTTGAAGATAAAATGCCTGTCTGGATGTCCTACTCACCCCACCTGCCAATCACAGCGACGATGCTGATGATAATTATAATAAAAATGATGACGGCATACACACCGTGTAGCGGGTGACGAGTGCAGGTTAAGTGCATCGCCTTCTTTTATGCTCAATATTCAGGTTCATCCCCGAATCCCAAACCCAGATTCGACCCCAAAGGCCAAATTCTTAACCACTACGTCCGGCTGGCTCTATCCATGTGCTACCAAATTCTAGACCAGCGCTGCCTCGTGCAACTTCTGGGATGGTGGAAATGCTATTTGTACCATCTGAAGTAGCCACAAGCTACGTGTAGCTAACGAGCACCGGAAATGGGCTAGTGGGACTGGGAATTTTCATCTTGCTTAATTGTCATGAATCTCGCGCGTGGGGTAACGGCCGCCATGCTGGACAGCACAATCTCGAGACCTTTCCAGAGTGTCCAGCATTTAGTGGGTGCTCAGTAATGCTGAACGAACAAACTCAAGCTTAACTCTGTTACAGAATTCAGTACAACCTCTTGACCTTGCCAGCACGGGGCCAGGGGGGACCCGATGATGAACCATCATTTCCTGGGATGCATTTCCATCAAGACACTGACCACAAGGCCTGAGGCTTATTCTTCTCTGCGTCCCCAGGGCATTAAATAAAGTGCTTTATGAATTTTGTACTTGATGCTTTCCCTGTGACAGAAAAAAGCTGTTTTTTTTTTTTTTTTTTTTTACAGGTAGTCCCCTCCTTATAACATGAGCCCATTTCAAAGATCCACTCATGTGTCAGCAATTAGGAACTTGGTGGGTAGGTTCCTGAGAAACCACTCGGGCAAGGCAGTTTCGTTCAGTTCCCAGGGTGACCAACCAAAACACTCTTCATACACGCTAGACCTTCATGTGAGAACATATTCCGTATCTTAGTGTTTCTCTACCTACCTTTCTCCCCCCCATCATCGTGTGCTCTCCCTGCCCCTCTCCCACCCTTTTAGACACTTTTCCCCATGAAATCTTAATACCACAGAAAACTGTACATCTGTGCATGTACTAGATATATACATGTGCTTTTTACATAAAGAGTACCTTTGTTCCCCTAACCCTACGGAATCAGTCTCTGCTGCCTTGGAGGTGATATCGCTCCTGTTGAGAACGTGTGGTCTGGCTCAGTGGGTGTCATGTGAGTGGTACCTTAATCCACCCTGGAGAAAGCACCTCTCCATCACTTCCTCAGTCACACCCAGCCACGTGTAGCTCGTGGCTACATCAGCACAAATAGAGACTGTTTCCACCACCACCGAAGTCCCATAAGGCAGCGCTGGTCTAGAATTTGGTAGTGCATGGATAGAACCAACATGACATAGTGGTTAAGAATATGACCCCCATCACTTACTGGGGGGAAAGGCTGAACAGCACGCTCACCTTTATGCCAAACAGGTGGGACATCACTGTGCTTTATCCTGGGGTTTTACTGTCCACAGCCACCTGGATTTCAGGCCATGCCTCATGCCTGGTGAAGCCTGGTCACCCCTCTTTGCAGTCCATTCCCAGAACCCACTTCCTCTGGGAGCGGCCACCTGCCCTCTGGAAATGGACAGATGAGAGGAGACTGCACACTAACACATTACAAGCCAGGGCACATTACAAGCCCAGAAACCAGAGGTCAGGGTTTAAAACAGTTTATAGCGATTGGACAAGGATTTTATGTTTGTTCAATAGAAACACAAAAAGTAGGGCTAGCACTTTGTATGTCTTTGCTTTTTTTAGATCTTTACCTCGTAATTCATTTTTATCCTAGTTTACA